TTCAAAACAAATGACATACTGTATCAAAAATGTTCTCTGTGAGATGCAGATTTGCAGCAACTTCACACTAATACTCAGCCAAAAACAGCAAACTGAGGGCTAAAGAGAGCATTCTTGAACAGGATCAGGGTCTGGTTACTCAGAACCAGGCACATCTGTGGTATTTCTAATAGAAAAACTTCATTAGATTGAGTGTTTAATATCATACCTGAGCTCAGATGGTGTTTWTCAGCTTCAGTCCAGACAGGAATGAAATGTTTTTTTTTTAAAAACCCTGTGTCTGGGGCCTTTAATACTAAAAGACTACAGAGGTGTCACCATTTTTAAGCGCTCGCCTGTTTGAGGCTGCACAAGCTGTACTGATTACTACCTGCTGCTGTTTCCAGAACCTATGAATATGCAAATATTTTTCATCAAACAACTCTAAATCCCAGATTCTCACAATTACACTTCAGTTAGCTGCCTGTTGAGATGGCACTGCCCCCTCGGTCGTTTGTGATCTTATAAATTCTTCTCAGTTCAGGTTTTAGGGGAGCTTAAACATCAACCTGTGGTTTTTACTTCAGTCACTAAACACCTCTGGTCTAAAACATAAAAGATAGTGGGCCCTCGGGGACCAGGATCAGACACCCCTGGTCCAAAACATGCAGAATGGTGATCTCAAATACCAGGATTGGGTTTTAAACTTGGATCAGCCATACAATAAGAGAACTGCTTTTTAATTGTTTCAGCCTTGCGTTTATGAGTTTTAGGAGCTCCAAAAATATATGAAACAGGCTTCAAAGTAAAAAAAAAAATCCCAAAACGTCAGCCGTTTGTTTTTGTTTCGAAAACAGTAATGTCACAGCTTCACCTTTAATCTAACCTATGACTCAATGGCGACTCAGCAGGTAAGCTTTATGAGTTTGATCGACACTTTGCTTTCTGTTTATCGGCTCGTTCACCTCGAGAAACAACAGAGATACAACACAAGTTTATGTTAAAGACTTTGAATTTTGGTCTCGTCTGACCAGAACACTTCCTGCAAACTACTGACACAATCAATAAAAGGCTGAACTAATCATTTTTTGGTCATTTCAAATCAAATGCTTCAAACAAAACAAACTCAAAGATAGAAGAGATGATGAAGAACAGGGATTTCGACGTCACACCCACRATCACATCCACTCCTGGGGGAAAGGCACTGTTGTCGCTCATGTTTTGATGGATACAGTATTTGTTTGTCAAATTACTTTCATCTGATCTGAAGCTCTCAAACCTCAGATGAAGCATCACATGAGAGGATTGACTATTAGGGGAAATGGCTCTTGTGTTAATTGTTAAAACGAGCTCCAGTTTAATCATCAGAGAAAATTATTTTTTGATGCTCCATGAGTATAAAATCATTCCATAATGGGGTAATAAGATGCAGCAGTGGCAGCTTGAGGACCCATATAAGACCTATGTAGAGAAATGTCAAGTGATCATTCAGTGCATTACTGAATTTAGACAAACCGATTGAACATTCTTACCCGTTCAGACTTGATTGTGGAGGAAGATCAGGTCACGGGAACCATCAAGCAACTGTTCAATCTCAACTGCAACTTTAATTCCAACTGGGACAGAGAGCGTTGAAGCAGTCGTTATATCTGTTCAGTATGGTCTGAAATAGTTCAAATTGGTGTTATTAGTCAGCTGATTCAGATTTTTCTTTCCTCTGGCCACATTCACAGCAAGGCTGTAACCCACTGACTTCCTGTGTCTTTATCTCACCATTCGTTCCTTCAGTCAACTGATCCTGCTTCCCTTCTGATGTTTACCTGTATCATGACCAACTACAACCTACATTTATACCACTTCTTAAATGGTGCAGAACTGTTTGTTTTCTCTCTCTCTCTCTGGGCACACTGTGGCTAAAACGGCACTGCGGTGTTTCCTGCCAGCGTTCTCTCACTCCTCCATCGAAGTGATTGTGCCACACATCAAAGATGGCGTCGCACCTCATGAGTCGGGGGCTCGCATTCTCATCCATTTGTCACAGCTGAGCTCAATCTTTCTGCTCATTATGCCATAATTTATCAGTCACAGACTGAAGTCATGAATACTGATGGAGCTACACACTTTCAATCTACATCCCCACCCCTGTTAGGGTTGTTCCTAACAGACTAGAAAGATGGGTTCCTTATAGATTTCATTGATGAAAGTTGAGTGATCCCTCAGATGAAGGTGGGACTGAAGCCATCTGGAAGGTTCAAGAGCCGCTCCAGATGTATTGTGTACTTGTAAATATTTAAAGCAGTGGTTCCCAAAGTTGGGGTCGGGACCCACAGTGGGGTCCTGAAACCTCAAGGTGGGGTCCTGAAAATATATTTTGAAACAATTACACAAAAAAATGACAACTAAGAACAATTTTTTTGCCTTTGTTGTAACAAAATAATAAAATTAGTTTACTTAAAATGGACAAAAATAGCATAATAAATAATGTTACTATGCTCTTGTTTATTTGAAGTGAAAATAATGTTTATCAATCGACAACAGCTGGGGGCACAGGTCTCTGCTGCTGGTATTTTGTGGGTCAAAAGCTGAAAAGTTTGGGAACCACTGGTTCAAAGGACTCTAACAAACCCCTTCAGACACCATCTGGGCCTAGCTGCAGAAGATCCATATGAGCTAAGGGATGAGGGGACGTTCRGCTGACTCAGTCTGCCAGGAGGCCTACAGCGGGGCTCTGCTCATCTTCACCAACGCCCACGACAAGACCTTCAACGGCCCCACAGTGACCGCTGCGGCGACCCTTTGGTCCCTGCTGTTWGCGGTGGGGGTCACCCCAATTGAGCGCTGCTCTTACCATAAATGATGCATGTATTTATTTTAAAATTCAAAATCAGAAAGAGTTTGTTTTTTCAGATAAATTATTTGATTAAATGCAGCTTCCAGGTTGGTTTAAATGTATTTTATGCTTATTCAATTCAATTCAGTTCAAAAATACTTTATTAATCCCAGAGGGAAATTAGGTAGTTATGGCTGTTGTGGATTTCAATTTATTAAAAGGGAAATAAGGTGATAAAGGGAATAAGATAATGCTTGTACTACCTGTAAAAAAAGTAATTCAGTTTCGCTGAGTATTTTGACATTATGATCTCTGTACAGATAAATAGAAACTGTTTTTTTATTACCAAACCTGTTTATTGTGTATTTTAAGTAAACTAAACGTCAATGGTAGCTCAGAAAACAGTAGTGCAACAGTGCCATCTAGTGACCAGTAATGATACTGGTCGCATGGTTTGTTACATGATTTTTTTATGCTGCTGAATAACACTAACAGTCAACCCATTCAGCTGACTACCATAAACGATGACCTATCAACACTCCTACAATCAGAAAATTTACTACTGTGGTTTAGTGGTGCCTCCAGGGGTTGTACCAAATAGCAAGAGCCATCAATACAACACTTCAGTTTTTATCACTGAACTTGAGCTTTACACTAACTTACTCTAATACAAATAGTGCTCTAATACAGTGTTTCCCAAAGTTGGGGTCGGGACCCAAAGTGGGGTCCCGAAACATCAAGGTGGGGTCCTGAAAAGATTTTCTGAATTAATTACATTTTTACCTTAGTTGTTACAAAGGAGTGAGGTTAGTGTATTTATAATGGATAAATGTAGTAAAAAAATATTGTTACTATGCCCATGTTTAGTTGACCTGATACAAATGTTTATCATCCAAAAATAGTTGTGGACACAGGTCTCTGCTACTGTTATTTTGTGGGTCAAAAGCTGAAAAGTTTGGGAACCACTGCAMTTTGGTTCCCAAAGTTGGGCTTGGGACCCAATTATGGGTCATGAAGCACCTTGGATAATCTCCAGAAATCAATTTAAAGGGTAATAAAATAATTGCTGATGTAATATTTTTCCTATAATTATTACAAAAACACAAAATAAGTAAAAATAAGTATTTATTTGTGTATAAGCTGTTTAGATTGTCAAAAAGCCTGTGTTTTCAGGGTTATTGACAAAGTTGACCAGTAATATTTGGGGTCACAAGTTTTTGCCATGGATGTTTTGTGGGTCAGAAGACAAAAAGTTTGGGAACCACTGCTCTAATATTCAAACATTAACAATCYTAAAAAAATGTAAGTACTAAATTATTCTAAATCATATCGAGTATTTCCTTAAACACACACTAACCAACATAGGGTTATACGGTCGAGGCTGGAAATTTGTCCCGGATCAAAGTATTTGTTTCGAAATGTAAGTTTAGCAACTTAGTTGATGAAATTGATACTGTAATGAGATGCTAAGTAAAATACAACTGCAAGTACTTATAGTGGAGCTAAACCCAAATTATTAATGTTTTTTATGTGTAACGTTTTTAACTGTGAAGTTATTCCTGAAGTGAAAAGAAGTGTGAGTGCATGTCCCAATGCATTCTAAGTCTGAAGGTCAGACCGTCTCATTTCACAGCKGTTTTATGTAGCCTACATGAACTGTGAAGGTTGCAGACTCCATAGACCACGGTCTAGGTAGGCTGCAGCCCCTGAATTAGAGACACGTCTTGGCTGTGTCTCAATTCATGGGCTGCACCTGGACCACGTGGGCTACATCCTTCCCAGTCCAGGTGGGCTGCATGAAACTGACGTCAACTTGACATAAGTTTGCATAACCACACATTACCCAATTACCTCGGAGATCAGTTTCATATCAGACTTAAAATGCATTGGGATATTTATTTACACGTCTTTTCACTGGTAAAATAACTTCACAATTGAAATGTTTCACAAAAATAAATAAAAACAGCATTAATAATTTGGGTTTAGCTCCAGTATCAACACTTGTAGTTGCATTTTTTTTATTTAACGTCTTATTGCAGCATGAATTCCATCAGCTAAGTTGATAAACTTACATTTAAAAACAAATCCTTCGGTCCTTGATGAATTTTCCAAACTGCTCAGTAAAAAAAAACAAAAAACAGCCGTCTTCGTTTCTTTGCTTTGTTTGCTGTCGGCGCATTGAATTCTGGGATATCCTCAGCCGGGATGGATACTCGGCTGCATCCTTGGCTGCGTCTCAATTCGTGGGTTGCAGCCGACGTGGACCGCTCGGCTGTTTGTGTCATTTCAGGCCAACCATACRTGTCGGCTGCATAAACCGCTGTGGATTAGGACGGGTCTAGCCTACGGATGACGTATGTTAACGTGACCACGCGCTGCGCCGTAACCACGTGTCCAAACAAGTGGGGACAATGGACTGGCAAAAAGAAATTGTAATTTCGATATTCTTAGCATTAATGGAGGAGCTGAGTGTTTCTCATCGACGTCAGTACATTTACTTTAGGCTGACAGAAGACTGCAACAACGTAAGAACAGTTTAAGCTTCATTTGTTAATAAGATTAAAGAGTAAGAAGCATTCAGTGGTGGGCAGCACTAATCTAAAAATTAGTTCCACTAGCCCTAAAACTCTAACTCATATATTTAGGTCCCCTAATTCTAAAGCACTAACACACTGAAAATTYAGCAAAAGTTAATTCTAAAGCACTAAAATAACCCAGTCAACCCATGAACGTTCTTCAACAAACAACATGAGTCACATGTTATGTTGCTCTCTGAAGACTTATCATTGACATCCCACAGCTGTGTTTGGGTTCATATATTGTCACCTGGTGGATCAGTGACACACATATGAACAAAATGTGTGACAGTTTTCACCCTCAGCTGTTAACATTAACATTGATCAATAACATTAATAGACCTCAGTTAGTGCTTCTAAATTTAGCCTATAAATTTAGCAAGTGCTAATTCTCTAATAAATTCTAAAATTAGCAAAAGCACTAATCAGGAAATTAGTTCCCCTATTAGTGCTTTGGGGGAACTGTGCCCACCACTGGAAGCATTAATGTCAGTTTGTTTGTTTTTTTGTGTGCATGTGTTTATTTCAAAAAAGCCTTGCAATTTACCTAAAACACATTTGTTATGAACTAAAGTTTCTGTGAATTGTGCATTTAAATTTAATTGTGTATACTCATTTTAGTTTGATTTAAATGTAGCAATAACTAGCCCTAATCCTATTCCTAACTCTGAGAAGTTACATCTAAAGAATAATTTTGTCACACTGAACAAAGTTGTTTTACTGTCACAAAATTATAATATTCTAAAT